GGGCTTGGGGTTTAGGGTTTATGGCTTATGGCCCTTATGGCGGGTGTTTGGTGTGTGGGTGTGTGTGCGTCTCTGTGCGTGTGTGTGTGTGTGTGTGTGTGTGTGTGTCTGTCTGTGTGTGTGTCTGTGTGTGTGTGTGTCTGTGTGTGTGTGTGTGTCTGTGTGTGTGTGTGTGTCTGTGTGTGTGTGTCTGTGTGACCGTGTCTGTGTGTCATTGTGTCTGTGTGTCTGTGTGCGTGTGCGTGTGCGCCGCGCATCTGATCGTGTGTTTATTGGTTTTCATATCTGCGCAAAGAAGTTACATGTCTTGCTTCGGGGTGAGTCGAGGCTTCTGAGCTACCCTAATCAGAAATCTCTCTTGTCAAACACCATGCTGGTGCCCCGTGTATATCCCTGACCCCTAAACCTGAAACCCAGTCACCGGGAAAGCCTGTTTAGATCATCATCTGGGTGAAGCCCTTGCTGATGACGTTCTCGCTTCTGCCTGGGAACTTACCTGAGTAACACCTTGGCACCGCCTAGCTCAGCAAGGCAGGAGGCAAAAAAAAATGAAGCCCCAACCCTGAACCGCTTCAAACCCTAAACCCTAATCCCCAAACCTTGCATTCTGAGGCCCTGGCTGCTCTCGCATTTGCCGGGCCTTCGGCGGTTTCATGGGCCTCTGCCGGGGTCAGACGCTGCGGGGACCTCGACCTCGACCAGTGGGAGGGGCCTTGTTGAATCATACTTCTGGTGTCTGACCAATTCCCAAAGTAATTCGTTAGGGTCCCCATTATCTGTTCGCATGGTACGGATGGAGATGGGCCTTCAATACTAGACGAGCCTGGAGAATCGTTTCGCGGTTGTTCGCAAGATGTCCCGTCTGTGATAAATGCACCACGTCGGTAGTGAGCGGATTCTGTTTCTGGCTGGTCAGCATCCCCAAGCCCTCAACCTCCCTGAGTCCGAAGCTTTGTACATACCTGCGGTTCTTGGTGCATCCCCGAACACCTCTGTCGAAAATAGACAACGTAGCGCAACATAATATAGTGGATCTTATAAACTGGGAGATGAGGATTGAAGATGAGCTCCTTCTTTACGATACAGAGGCCCCCCGCCAGACAATACCCTCTATAATACACTACAATATAACATAATATAGCAATACACCATACTAATAATCTACTACAAGAATATACCATCATTATATGCCATGTTAATATTTCAATGGTGAGTGACAGCAGCGCCAAGGGCGCCCACTGAGCCGCCGAAAGTGCGCTGCTACAGAGGAGGCGATCTTTGGGGCAAGGGTTCAGGGTTTAGGGTTTAGAGTTCTGCACTGCTTCACGGCGACGGCAGTTCCGGGCGAGAGAAGCCTGCTGCAAAAAGGTCGTTCTTCGGAACTGTGACCTTTGTTGTCTGGCTGGTGATGTGCAAAAGTTTGATATGGGAGTTTCCGAAAATTAGGGTACCTTATTTGGGGGTCCTTATAATAGGGATCCTATTATTTAGGGTACTATATTAGGGTCCCCTATTTTCGGAAACCCCCATATGAGTCACCTTGCAAGCTTGTCTTTTCGAGGCAATATTCTACGAATTGTCTTTGTCAGTTTATCCATGCGCTGTGTCCAAGAAAGACCGAGTCATGCGAATGCGAGGCGCAACTACTTGCACAGTCTCAAAAAAGTATGGAAGCAGGGTCGGCTTGTCAAAAAACCTTGCTTTTGCCGCAAGGCCAACCAACACTTTAGCCTTCTGAAGAAGAAGTTGCGGGGGCCTAGACCCTAAACCCTTAAACCCCTAAACCCTTAAACCCTTAAACCCTTAAACCCTGAACCCTTAAACCCTCAACCCTTAAATCCTAAACTCTTAAACCCTAAACCCGAAGTCCCTGAGCCCGGAGGCCTTTAAGCGGAGGACCCTTCGAGGCCAGATAGCTCTTCTTGGCTGCGGCTCCTTGGGTACATGTCGAAGGCTTCGCTTCTTTCCAGGGCTTTGCAGAAGCAACTCTCCCCCCAAGCCCTATGACACCTAAATGCTCTGAGACTTGAAGACAGCGTAGGTCGTAGTTGCAGGGTTTAGTTGGTAAGTGGTGGGTTGGTATCAGGTGTTGGTGTTATGTGCAAAGGACCAATGTACCAAGTACTTAGGGTAGGGTAGTGCCGGGTTGTGCAGAGTGAACACTTCTTCGCTAAGTTCACATAACAACCAAGGCTTCTTGACGTGGGCGCTCTGCGGCGTGGCAAACGTCTCTTGCCTGAGGGTAAGACAACTTAACATACTAATATAGCAAAGTAGGTAATTATAATTATCATAGTAATATAGCTTAACATAATAATATAGCAAAACAGATAATTGTTATCATATGGTATATTGTAGTATATTGTATTGTAAGTGTTGGAGCTAGAGTCGTAACTCAGGCTGGAGGCTCACAAGGTGCCACATGTGAGACGCAAGCTGCAGTCGTTGACTCTTCCCGTCTCCTCTCTTGGTGATGCTTCTTCCATGCCCTCGGCAGCCGCACACGAACACGGTCCGATGATCCTAAACGCCCTTAAACCAATCGGGAGTCGGAGTAGGGGGACCCTTGGGGATATAGACCCTCTCAATAAGGTCCCTTTTAAGAGAGCCAAAAGTGGGGTTCAGAAGGGGTACCCTTTAAGGGGTACCCCTAATCATACTACCTAACCTAAAGCCGAACCCCTCAGCCCTGAGTGTCGACTGGCAACTGGGTTCTCTGCGATCAGGAAGGCGTTGGCCTTCTGCTTCCTCAGCTGATGCGGGACTTCCCCATCAGCCCGGGCCAATCTGGTCTCGAGCCTCCTCTGCAAGGGCTCGCAAGGTTTTGGGGCTCCCTCGCAACGTAATTTAGGGGCCTCAATATTTTTTGTGAGTTCCTTAATAATAGTATAGTATACCCCAAAAGCCTAATCTAGTTACTACTGCCCTAAATCCTAAACCCTAAACCCTAAACCCCCCTTGCATTAGGGTTTATTTGCTTTTCGTTGTTTCCTGAGAGCCGGGAAGGTCAGGAGGTTCCTACGTCATGACCTCCAAGATCCCGGTTTGACGCGAGTAACATAGGGGCCGTCAGAATTACCGATACTATTTTGGGGATCCTTATTAGAATACTATTTTGGGGATCCTTATTATAATACTATTTTGGGGATCCTTATTATAATACTATTTTGGGGGTCCTTGTTATAATAATGGATCCCAAAACCCTATTCTAATCATTAAGGCCCCTATTTTACCAAGCACCATTCCGAGAGCAGTCCTTTGTAAGCGCAGAGAGAGTTACTAAGAACGGAGCGAAGCATGATTTGAAGATGTGTATGGTCTTTGAAGCATGTCGCCCTTGAGACCCTGAATCCAAACGGCCTCCCCACTCCGAAATCCTAAAGCCCCCGGACCCCAAAAAGCTTTCAGCCCTAAGCCCCCCAAACCCTCAGCGGTTTTCCTTATTTGGGCTCTAGGGTTTGCGTGTGGCCGAGGTCGCCACCACTTTCACAGTGGGCAATGCCCTGGGGCTGGCATTCGGCGGGGTGCTGGCAGAACGACAGGCAGGGGACAGGCCTAGAGGCCAAAGAGGCCGCTACTCGTACTCGTACCCCTTGATGAACATGCCCTAAACCATTGTGCTGGAGGGTTCGGTATTCTGATGTAACGTCCTTAAGGGCTTATGGGGGTGGACGGTTGTGCGATTTGGCTGGATGGCCAATTGCTAATCGGAATCCAACAAGAAAGCCACTGCGAAAGATAGTATCATGAAGCCTCGGACATGGAGTCCCGCCTGCCACTGCGGGTTGCAGCTGCAGCACCGACTTTGTCTAACTCCGCAAGCACTACGGCTTCGCCCTTTTGAAGGCCGCATGAAACTTGTGACACAATATCCCTCAGCATCTGCGTCGGTTGTGTACCAGCCCGTGGCCACTATACTGGAACCACATGGGAATTCATATTTCATACTGTAACGAATAAACAGGGGTCTAAGCTCCAGGCAAGATGGCTTGAAGGCGTAAGTTCCGGGGCTTTTTTGGCGCTGTTGCCACTCCCTGGGTCAGGGCCGCCGTGACTTGGCACGCTTGGGGCTGCTTGCGGCCCCTCGCCAGTGCTGGTTGTTTTCGTTTTCGGCCCGGAGGATGTATCCTGATTTGTAAACTGGCCTTCTTCGAAATGGATGAATCACTTAACGTAGGCAACCTTTCGGGGGTGTGTAGAAATACATGAATACATACCGGTATATAATAAAGAGTACATGACTCTACCACAATTTGAAAAGAATGACTTTTTTTAGACCGGGCTGCGCCACACCACCCCTCTAAGTAAAAGTCGTATAAACCTCAGCCGAAAACCTTTCAAAAGATGTCTTTGGCAGTAGCATATTACCCCAAACCCCAACTCCTCCAATCGTTGGTAATATTCTCATAGAGTCTACATACAGCCCCTAGAAAATCTAGCGTATGGCATCCGAGAAATTGAATGAACCGGCGGCCAGCGAATCACCACGAGAGATGCAAGCATGGGGATCAGCAGTAGGCCAGAGTCATCAGGACCTGCGCTAGGCTTTGCATCTGTTTCCTCGACGGAGGGTTCTTCATACAAACCCGAAAATCTAAGTCGGAGCCCACTTCAGAACAACCCCAAGGTAGCCGTGGCTGCCAGCCTCATCCTCAGCGCGACAAGGCAGGGATGCGGGAGCAGAGGGTTTTATTTGAGGCTTGCAGATTTTGTAGGGTTGTACAGCTTGTCGTAAGGTGTCTAGGGTTTAGTAATTGAGGGCCAGTTTTTGGAAATCGAAAAAAAAGGTGTCTAATCAAAAGCCTTGAACCCTCAGCTGTGAGCTCACGAGCCTGGAGGATGTCCGGTCCAGTGCATTTTTGCTTTTATGCCATAGCATACTACATGGACAAACGGCTTTGGAGTCATCCATTACCTTGTGTACCTGATGGGCCAGCTTGTGTTACCCGGAGGATATGTACACGAGGTTACCAGTTTCTTCCGATAAAGGTTGATGATCCTGCCGCGCATATTAAAATCAGTGCCACTGTGGTGTTCGGAGAACACGTTCACACCACCCTTTCTGGCATCTTTGACCTTTGAGGGTTCGCATGCCCTTTATACACAATGGAGAGTAGAGAAAGCAACACTTCCTCTAATCCCACAGCCCGAAAACCTTCAAACGTCAAAGAGAACGGCTTCTGGCAGTTTTTCATTTCTCCTTGCTGCTCGCGCACTTCTGGGCGTTGGTGCCGGGCTCCTTGCTGTGGCCGTGCCCGCGCTGTGCCTGGCCTCGACACAGTGGCACTTTTGTGGCTTCGGATTCCGACGTTTCCGGACCCGTTGTCCTAAACCGCAATAAGCCCTGAACCAAAACCCTAAGCCATCAACCCGAACCCCTAACCCTAAACCCAGGAACCTCGCCTAGGCATGTCCGAGACTAAACCCTAAACCCTAAACCCTAAACCCTAAACCCGAACCCCCAAACCCTAAACTATCAACCCGAACCCTGAAGCCGCCCCAAAGCCTTTCAAGATCTGAGGCTGACCGAGAGCCTACCTCGCGAGAATCTCGAGGCACGGTTGTTTCTGTCTACTGGCATAGATTGTTGGGCTTTTCGGATTTGGGCTAGGGTTTCAAGGAATCCGCCGACTTTTTTGAGTTGCTCCGATACTCTCTGAGAAAAAGTCTGGCCAAACCCCGCCGCAAAACCTCAACCCTGGACCCTCAAACTGCTGGAAAACTCAGAATGCCCTCATAAAAGAAGCCCCGCCTTAAGAACCCAAAACCTACTTTTTTGTAGGGTCCCTATAAATCCCCATATTAGGGTTTATAATAAGAACCTACAAAAAAGTGGGTTTTGGGTTCTTAAGGTAGCCCTACCCACACCCCGAACTTGCGGCTTCTGGGGGGCCCCGGAGGCCAACCTGTCGGCCTACCCGTGCGGCTGGCCCTTGGGGGCAGTGGTCGCCTGGCCAAAGCTTTGGGTAGGGCCCCAAAAAAAGCACCTGAGCAAAATTTAGGATAGGGATATCCCATAGGGGATACCTTATTCTGGGGTCCTTATAATAAGGAGCCTACTATTTGGGGTACTATATTAGGGTCCCCTATTTTCGGAAACCCCCATATACACCCCCTTATAATGAAGCCCAACAAGGTAGGCATATCCCTATAAAATGCTTATGCTTATGTCCTTTTGGTGTTCCTAATTCGGGGGAGCTGCTTTCTCAGGTTGCGTTTACTCTAGGGGCCTTAAGAATCACCTCTACTATTTTTTGGGGGGTCCTTATATTACAATTGTAGTACATTATCCCCCCAATACTATTTCGGGGGTTCCTTATATTATAATTTAAGGCCTTGATATAACCATAGGAGTCTCAAGGAGTTCCAAGTATTCCATAGGGTTCCTGGCTCCTCGTTCGAATTATATAATTATACTACCCCCACAACCTATTCTAACGATTAAGGCCCCTATGTTCTTAAGGTCTTGGCATAATATAGGGGCGCTTTAAAGAAGCGAAATTAATCTTAAGGTGCCGTGTACTCCTCAGGTAGTGGCCTAAAGTCCCAGCGAAGCCTTGCCGTATCTCAAGGATAACGGCCCAAACCTTTGTCGAGTTGGCTAGTTAGGCCTCTATGCTCACCCGTGTCATCGCTTCGCGAGATCTGAACATACCCCAGTTTGGGCGCCTGGCGACATTCGAAATCGTGCTGCTACACCAGTGTCGTGCACCTGCGCGTGCTTCGGCCACGGCGGAGGGCGTGTTCTGGGGTGCCAATGGAGTTTCCCCCACAGCGTCGTGTACATTTTGCACTCATGGTGTGGTCTTGAACCTTTGGGCATCATTGAGTTTCACGCGCAATCTCCCTCCGAAAGCCCGAACATCCAAAAGCCCTAAGCCCTTATAATTGAACCTTTTATGCAAAACCAATTCGAACTTGTTCGGCGAGTTGGAGTGGTGAGAGCATGTCCTTGCAAGGGGCATTGCAGGTTGCAGGGCATGTACGTTGCCCAGGTCGTTATCCTACTCGCCGGACTGGCGTGGCGTCAATCCCTAGCGCTGCCATTGGGTCTCTTGCCCTTACAAAGCTTGCAGGGTGTTCAGGCTCAGGCGGACAGTTTTCAGCTTTTTCTGTTTTTGCTGCAGCCAATGGCAGCCCGATTGCAAGAAAGTGGAAGAGCCGTAACGGCAGGAAGTTCGAAGAGGGGACTGGCTCTAGGTTGCTAGCAGGTACCCATCTGTCGCTGAAGCTCCATTGAGCTACCACTGCATCTTCCAAATGATTTTACCAAAACACCTTGGGAATGTGTTTCGTCAAACGGCCAAAGCACGCGCCTGTGGGTGCAGTACTCTTCTCTTCATGAGAAAGCATGATAAAGCATACATATTCACGCATAAACGTATACGGGCACGTGCGAGCATGGAGTCTTGGCTCCGCTTCGGACTTGAAGGAGCCGGTGCTTCTGTTGGGAGGGGTGATTTTTGTTGTTGTCTTTTGTTTTTTCTTGGTGGGTTGGGGGGGTGCGCGCAGGGGCTGCGGGGGAGAGACCCGGGGGCAGGGGCTGGGTTCCCAACCTGGTAACGCATCTATACATCTGTACATCTATACATATCTAGGTATATATATATATATATACACATACATCTATATATGTAGATAGATAGATAGATAGATAGATAGATAGATAGATAGATATACACATACATATGTACATATACACATATTTACCCAGGAAAGAAGAGAAGCATGGGCCAAAACAAAAACAAAACTAACTACACCCCTTGTGTTGGCAGTCGAGGCTTCTGCGCGCTGCTTCTACCACTGCTGCTGTGGCTGCCGGAGTCGCCGCAGCACACTTGCCCACCAATCAGCTAGCAAACATGAGAAACGTAATGGTTGTGGGGTCCAAGGGTTCCAGTCCTTGGCGACTGTGATGACTAAGTAAGCCGTCAATTTGGGGGGTGGCAGAGTCAGTCGACCTGCGCGAATCAACTTGCAAAGTCTTCTGAGGCTTTGAGCTAGGGTTCAGGGCACCTCGAGACCTCACATTCCAATGGGGCAGAGTTTTGCGCAGCTGAGGTATCTGCAACTGCGACTTGGCAGCATGTCTCCTTCAGGACGGAAGGCCATCGGATCGCCGCACCCCTTGAAGGCTCTGACATAAGGAGGTCACGAAAAGGTATCCTGCCATCAGTAGACGGCGAAGATAGCGCCTTCTTTGAAAAGATGCTACTTGTCAGATCCTGAAAGGAACCCTTCAACTCCCAAACCCCTAAACTAACCCTTTCAAGGGGTCTGGGCATGGAATGTTATGCCGAGCCCAACCCTCAAACCCCAAAGCCCTAAACCCTCGAGTTCTGACTGTGCCCTAAACCCTAAACCCTCGAGTTCTGAGAGCGCAAACCCAAGGAAGGGGCGCGTGGAGGAGGCACGGGAAGCCCGGCGGAAGCTCAGCGGACGCTCGGAGGCCCTGTTCTCAGTCAAACTCAACTAGACCGTATCCCAGAGCGCCCTTCATCATTGAGGGGCGTGTGTGTGAATACATGTATACACATATACATATATCGTATGTGTGTATGTATGTATGTATGTATGTATGTATGTATGTATGTATGTATGTGCTCGTATTCGTACATGCAAACCTTTAGGCTTCCAATCCATGGTTTAAGGCATTTTCCTTGGCAACCAGATACGGCAAAGCCTTCCGGAGACACTTGAGTTTCCCTTCTGATCCAAGAGAGGTATCCTACAGTCTCTTCATACTACGACCCACAGAACCATAAAACCCACACCCACCCACCTCCCGACCTATTCAGCCAGCACTACCCACAAAGCTCCGCTCCACTGCTTCGGAAACCGAAGGCTTGAACTCACCCACGCCCGCATGAACATCCTGAGCACTGAGGCCCAAGGTCCTAAACCTCGAGAGTTTTGCATCGCAGCATGTTTAGCTTAATGACTTAGGAGATATCCTGTTGCTTTATGTAGTTTGAGTACTGGGTGCTGAAACCATCGAACCCCGTAAAGCCAGTCGGGGGGACCCTTCTCAAGCAAGGTGCTGAGGTTAAGGTTGTGCCCCAGCAGTCGATTGCCAGTATTACCGCCGTTCATGCCTCCCCACAGCAGACAAAGTCGTGACTTGAGCTTACCATGGGGGTTTGAACCTAAACCCTAAACCCTAAACCGTAATGCCATCCCTTTTTGTAGCGAGGCCATCGAGGAGCAGTCGGGCACCGCCAAAGAGTCTTGCGGCAATGTCAGCTTCGCCAGGACCTGAACTGCCCTGTCCCCTACTTGCAATGCAGGGTTGAGGGTTCGGGTCACTATCAGGGTTTAGGGTTTGGGGTGATTTTGTAGGATCAGCAGAGTCTGGGTTCACAAGGGTGTAGGAAAAATCAGTACTAATCAACCCTTTTAAGCGTAAACCTTCTAACACCCCGCAGCCTTTCATGCCAAAGCTTTCTGCATTTGTTGACTGCCTGCGTCGGACGTGTGTACAGATATGTAGCTGTGGAGGATCCGAGAAAGCCGTACGAGCGCCAGTCGGCAGCTGCTACTTCTTAAGATAAACATTGTCGGCCGTGGTCATGTGTACGAACTATGCCAATCATAGTGGGTCTCGCGTCGCAAGTCTTTTGTAGTTGGGTGGCGTGCAGCAATGTATCGACATATGATGCCGTCGACTAGTACAGGGAAGACTCTTATCCCCTAAACCCCCTACACTTTTGCAACTACGTCATTTGCCTGGACGCTCCCGTGTATGTTGAGAGGATGGCGGCGACTTTGATGTGCCGCCACGCAGCGTCCGTTCTCGTAAAGATCTGGCTCCCAGCCGCTTAGCTCTGGGTTCAAGGCTTGGCCGGGTTCACCGCTATTGTTATTATTATTATTATCATTATTATTATTATTACTACTATTATTATTATTACTGTGACTATTATTATTATTATTGTAGATCTTGTAGTGGGTCCCCCTCATGGGAGTTTCAGAAGGTGGGGCCCCAAATATCGACTGTGAAAGGCCATCATAAGACTCACCAATCTCACAATTTACGTAGGGGTCTCCGAATCATATGGTATCCCTCGTCTCCTGAAACCCCATGGACGACTTGAGCTCGCAGGGCCAAGGACGCAGGGTGTAGGATTTGAGGTTGGGCCGTAGGCTTTGTGCATCTAGGTTTAGGAAGTAGAGCCTTGGTTTAAGAGGGAGGCACTTCAGAGAGACCTCGTTCAAAGAGCTTCGGATTTGCTGCTCTGGGGTGGAAGGGTCAGGTCAGGGCCGGGTGCAGGGGTTGTACGATGCGGGGATGCTAGCTTTATATTCGAGGCGGCAGAGGAAGTCAGGCTTCAGCACGCTAGACTGTATGGCGCAACCTCGGTAGGCTTCTGCCTGAACTTAGGACAGCCTTTCTAAACCCTGAGTTTTGGAGTCCTAGCCCTCACACCCCCACAGGCCATGATGTACTTCCAAAACCTGAAGCCCTGTGACCTAAGACCAGCAATGCCGGAGGCAAAAGGCCAAAGACCTGAAAATCCTGATACCTCGCACTTTAGACTTTAAGCTCAGCAAAAGTCCTAAGGCCCTGAAATCAGGCCTGAAAACAGTAAACCTTTGCACTCGTGCGCTGGAAGGTTTCGGCTTCGACTTCAGCTGACATCACCACTGAAGTCAGCTGTACTCCACACTTTCATTCCCATTCTGCAGCCTGATACATAGGTTCGTCCCTTCAATGAGCGAAGGGAAAAGCCCTAATGCCTGAAACTCTAATGCATGCAGAACCCCAGACCACAAAACCCTGCGATTCCTAAATTAAACACTAAACCCCAAACCCTGAACCCCTAAACCACTTGCCCCTTAAGCACCCGAAGCCGCAAACTCAAGTCCGAGTTGCGAGAGCATAAGCACGCTTACAGCTCTATAAAATAACATACTACAATAGCTATTGTAGAATCTAACATAACATAACAGTCTTTAATATCACACACACACACACATATATATATATAGAAAGAAAGACAGAAAGAACAAACGAAAGAAAGAAAGAAAGACAAGAAAGACAAGAAAGAGAGAAAGCCCAGGTTTGGCTGGTGAGCCAGGGTTCGGCGACCAGTGCCATGCTCTTAATGTACTCCTTGGAGGCCGAAGTCTGCCCTTGGGGTTTAGGTTTTTAGGGGTCTAGGGTTTTAGGGTTTCAGAGGGTTTAGGGTTGTAGGGTTTAGGGGTCGAGTATTTCCGGGTCTAGAGTTCTGTGTTAGGGAAAAAGGGCTTTAGGTCTTAGGGTTATGCAGGGAGATGTAAAAGACATACTATGAAACCCTGAGGTTGTGTTCTGTTGTTGGAGGCTGAGGGGGGTGGAGGGGAATTAGCACCGGGGGGGGGGGGGGGGGCTACATGGTTCTAGGATTCTAGAATGGTTGTCTCACTCTTTGTAGGGGTTCTATGGTGGTCTGTTTGAAGTATGGCCCCGCAGCAAATGTGGGGACGCGGGTACGAGTATGAGGATCTTCACCCTGCTCCTATCGCCTCGGCCGCTTATAATACTTGCCTTTCCATGCACTCGAGAAGCACATAACCGTTGATGCAGCTAGAGTAGTAACACGGAACGCTCTGAGGGCGATTTGCCTCCAACAGCCCTGTTATTTGTTTTAAGTTGCCTTTCCGGCTTAAAAGAAACAAGTGCTAAACCCTAATTCTGAAACCCTTGCTACGTGAACATGCTGGCCATGCCTGCCTTGTGCGAGAGTGTGAGTCGAATTCTGAAACCCTAAACCTTAAACGCGACACCCAGCCGAAACCGCTGACATCAGGCCGTTGGGATCTTCGTGACGAGCCGTGTCCTCGCAGGGGCGGACGAGGAATCTCCGCCCCGGGGGTCTTCAAAGGCGGTTCTCGAGAATTCGGGATCCTTTTGTCAGGGATCCTTGTGGTTTAGGGTTTGGGGTTTAGGGGAGGATCCGGGTTTCAGATGAGGGTCCCCTTGGGCTTTTCTGCAATGGGCTCCCAAAAATCCGAAAAACTCCACGTCGAAGCCCAAGCCATCCTGCGCCTTAGGCCTTCGGCCACAAGGCCCCACAAACCCTATAGGCCCTCTCCCGCTGCACGGGGAGGCTGCAGATGCCATGGCGCGAGGGGCCAGGCTCAGTCTGGCCGCAGGCGACGCCTTCGCGAGAATTTCGGGGGTTTAGGGTGATGGGAGAATTTAGGGGGTTTAGGGTTGAAAGGGCTTAGGACCCAGCAGCCTTCACAGACTTAGTACACATGGATGAGCCTATGTTCGGCGATCACACTGCTCGTGGTTTTGGTACGAACACGCAGGTAAGGTAAGAGCAGCCAGCAGTGTGGAGAGAGAGCTTAATGTAGGGGCCTAGGTGGGGTTTTGGGGTATAGTACACTATAATCGTGTCGAAATACGGAACCCCCAAAATAGTATTGGTAATTATCCAGGCCCCTACATTAAGCCCCGTTGGCCGTGAAGCTCCGTCAGACCCAGGCCTTGGTGAAACCGGTGCAATGCCACAAAGCGAGTTGAAAGGTAGAAACTCTTCAATGCAAGGGTGTGTCGTAAAGTCTCTCACTGCACAGTTATTGGTATATAATATATATATATATATAATATATATATATATACTGTGATGTGCGAAACCCTATACTACTTGATATGACGCTCCAGTAAAGCCCCTGAAAGAGAGGCTGCCTGGCCACCTTGGGCTGTTTGGGCTGCAGAGGCCGGGCGAGGGGGGGTGCCCCTCAGACAGCAGAGCTTCCTCTACAATTGTAAGCGCTTCGTTGGGCTCGGCCGGGTCGAAGAGCAATACGCTGAAGTCAGAGCTAGGCGAAAAAATAGATACGAACAGGCCCCCCTGCACCTAAGACACTGAGTCAGGATCCCAGTCGAAAGCTCAGGGGTTGTTCTTGCTGCGGTTCTGAGTTACTTTCCGCTAGTACTTAGAATAGGGTTTTGGGGCCCGTTATACTATAACTATCATAAGGAGGCCCCAACATAGTATTGGTAATTACTGAGGCCCCTACAGTAACTGGCACTGCTGAAGGCCGACGAACCCGTCCATGGGACCACTGCTGTTCTCGCAGCCCGAAAGTATGTGTTTCCGGTGACTGTTCCCCTTACCCTCGAAGGACTCATATTTTAAGGCGTTTGGGCCCAAAGACCCTATAATATAAGGTTGATGCTAAGGGTTTGGGTGATGCACCCAAAACCCTAGCGGCCCCTAGCAAAGCCTTAGACCTTGAGACCTCAACTTGGCTCCGGGTTCTGAGAGCATTGAACATTAACTTCAGGTTAACATGTTGCTCGTTTCTGGAAGCCTCAGCCCATGCTTGTCATGGATACATAGACCGAAGCGGCCGTCGCACACTCCTCAACGGGGCAGATTGTCGCATTAGTTGCCGATCCCTAAACCTGCAAACTCTAAACAAGCTACGACTCCCTGAAGACTTAATCCAAACCGCCTGTAGGCCATGCGCTGCTAGCCGGTGTCTTGGGTGCCGCGCACCTCATTGCGCAGGCTAGGGTGGGAGGATGCAGCCGGGAAACGAAGCTCAAATCACGATTTGGCTCTGGGGTATGTTACCGTAAAATCATTTTGCCCGTCAGCCCGTCAACCCGATAAGGAATAATGCTAGTCAGGATGCCTTAGACCCCCTCAACTCTCAACTCCAAACTGCTAGGGCCAAGCAGCCAAATCAAAGTAATAGTCACCACGAGAAGGAGAGCCGATCATATGCTAGCCTACCCGGAAGGTTTCTTGGAATGAAGCCTGTGCAGGTCCTTCTTGTCGTTATTCATAAACAGGAGGCCCTCTGCCTTCTTGGGGTTTAACATAACATTGCCCCTGAACCCTAAACCCTAAGCCCTATACCCTGAACCCTAAACCCTAAACCCTATACCCTGAACCTAAACCCGATAAACCCTATACCCTGGTTTTCTGAGACTCCCGCCTCACGCACGGCTTTTTCCAGGCGAACTCGTGCAACCTTCTGCGGCTCGCCAGTGACTGTAAACCTGGGATCATGAAGACCATGGGTCCCTTTTGTGGGATTAGGGCCTATATGAGGACTAGTTTAAGTTGCTTCTGACATTTCCCGGGTGGATGTTATCATGCATGAAGTTGCTTTCCGTGCTCCGTGTGAAGATTACCACTGGCCCTTGGGCAAGGGTCGATCTGAATCAAGGTCGTAGGTTGTTCAAAGCCGGCAGCCATGGCCGTCCTTAGTTTTGGGAAGTTAGCAGAAGAAGAGTTGCGAAGCTTCTTCCCAACGGCATATGGCTCTACGCGTGCACCGGACTCTCGAGTGCGTAGCTGCGTCTTTCTTTCCTCATGGATGTGCCTTCTCGTAACATCAAAATAGCCCAAGAGCCGTATATAATGGGGTCTTTGGGCCTGAAAGCCTTAAAATATGAGCCCTTTGACGGTAAGGGCTTGAGTTGACATTGCAAAAATTTTATTCCGAGCCTGAATTCTTTCGCACTCCTTTTTGGCTCCTGCCGACGTGCTGACTTGTTTGGATGGACACTCTCTTCAATTCCCAAACTGCAGAACCCAGAGCTTATCTTTCATCGGATCATGGAGTCCTGTGTACGTAGTAGTGGGTTTGTTGCGTGTTATGGATTATAACCTATACTGAGCTTGAACCCAAGCCCGGAAAACCCTAAACCCTAAACCCTAAACCCTAAACCCTGCCGGAAAGGGCCCCATGCTTCTCCAAGGCTGGCCTTCGCCAGCTGTTCCGCTGAGACCGCCGACCGCGCCCGCACGTTGGCGCGGCTCAACCTCCTGAGCGGCATGACTGCATGCAATGGTTAATCTTCGAGCTTTCCGGGCTTTGGGTTTAGGAGTTTAGGGTTTTAGGGTTTAGGGTTTAGGAGTTTAGGGTTATAGGGGTGTTTACAGTGGGCTCAAGGGTTGGATGACTAGTCCGGCTTCAGCCCATGTTCTCGATGGAAGGGAGGACGTTACGGCCTATGTCCGTGTTTGAGAGTTTCAAGTTGTGTCGGAACGTCGTGGATCGCTTCATGGATTTTGCGCGGACTCCTGAGTCTGGCTTCAGGCTCTATACTCTATCCATGTGCACAGTCTTCCACATGGGAGTTTCCGAAAATTAGGGGTACCTTATTTTTGGGCCCTTATAATAAGGATCCTACTATTTAGGGTACTATATTAGGGTCCCCTGTTTTCGGAAACTCCCACATAAATCCTCCAACCATAGCTAATGATGGAGACTGGGCAATCACGGGCATGCCAAGACCATCTGCCCCTGCCGCCCAGTGCACTTCTCCTTATTGATGACATGCTCACCCTCATCATAGTCCGCATCCGCACCCTTGCTCAGGAAAATCCCGCTTTTACATCCGGATTGCTCCGGTGCATCGGATGCTAAGGTTGTGCTTGAGAGGCTACCCCATGGTTCAGAGAAATCTCCTAGATATGAGATTTACCTATTGCTCCTTCATCCATCATAGCAACCTTACTTGCTTGTTGATGCTGTTGCTTCGGCTTCAATATTGCCGGAGTTGCGACAGGTTGATAGCTTCGAAGCTTTGGCCAGCGGTCAAAAAGGCAGATAAGCATACTCCATATTCAAGCCCCGACTGCTGACAGGGATGCTACCCTCAACGGTGTAGGTTTAGGTCAGGTGCCTTTCTTGGGCCCCTTGCTTGGCACTGCGCGAGGAACCCTCTTGAGAATCTGAGGTTTCCTCAGCGGAAGCCACTGGGCACTATTCGCCCTTCTTCGGCCTCGAGGATAGTATAGGGGCCTTAATAATATTATTCTTAGGGTTCCTTGTTATCAGTATAGTACAATGGGCCCCAAAATCCTATTCTCATTAGCAAGGCCCCTACTTTACTGTTCAGGATCCCTGTATCAAAAGGCCCTTGAAGGATCAGGGCACATGTTAAGAGGTTTCCGGGGAGGGGTGTACAGGGCCTCTTGGATGAACAAACATACACATACCTCAACTATGTACTAACCGAGTACATATAGATTTCTGTGGCTTTTGCCAGACCCTGCGCTTCGAGATTAAGCTTGACTGTAAGTAAAATCCATGGGTAGGATTGCAGGTATTGGGCTCAGAGGACATAATCATTTGTTTGAGCTTTTGCGCTTCTTCCCCGTGTAGATGCTGTGGCCGCAGGGGCAAACTCTACAATCCTAAAGCAGCTACAGTCGCGCGTGTATCTTCTAGGAAGCAGTGCCATGTAGTGTGACGAGAGAAAAGCCAACACGGTATAAATACGGGCTTGAATACATAGCAAAGGTCTTCTTTCGGGCTCCGTTTTTTCACTCATAGTCTTACATAGCTCAAGACCCGATTCTACTTATCCAGGTCCTTCGGTCCTTCCACGGAACTCATTAGGCCAGAGCGTGCTGCTGCCCAGGTATTGTGCCATCAGCCGTTGGTATCCTGGCTACACCATGCCCACGAGAGGGCTTCTAATACCAGACCGCCAGAACCCTGCTTAATCTTCCTGGCCCAGATGTTCCAGAGACACGTGTTCGCCCGTAAAGTAAAGATAACTGGAAACTAGAAGGGACACAGCGAAACAGCCCCCTCGACAACCAAGAACAAAACGTTCACAACCAGCCCCGGACGTGCAAAGATCGCGCCGGGAACATGGCAAGATGATTGGGCAAACCCCGTGCGCAACTTCTCAGTTCCTTGAATAAGGGCAAGCTGCTCGATCCTGGTTTATGCTTTCTCCAATACCCACGCAAACCTGAACCCTTCGTCCTTGCCAAGCACGAGCAACAGAATCGTTGCACCCTAACCCGAGGCCTCGATTAGGCACAGGCCCAACTGCGGGACTCACTCAGACCCAGATGCACCGATGCTGTTCAACACCAAGGTCTCACCGTGACCGTCCAGGCAGGGGCACGGAGACCGGAGAGTGGGCAGAATATATGTTAGGAGAAATGACAAATCTAATGATACGGTACCATACTGCTGAGAGCAGCAGTGCTAGCACTGAGAACGTTTAATTTAGTATGGTAAACAATAAAAATGACGACGGCAGCTGGCGATAATCGCAAGAATACGAATGCTAATAAGTATCAGTAGCTAGTGGGGAGAGGGATGTCGAAGGAAGCACCTTGCACGAACCATGAGATGAGGCGGGCAGCTTCCACGGCGTGGGCTGCCTCCTTTGCATAGCTTCTGCATTGTACGCGCTGGGAGCAGCGATTGCTCCACGCGCGGCTAGCCGGTGAGCCGCGAAATGGGGCTCATGCTTGTAGATCTGGGTCTTTGCGTCGCAAGGATTATTTTGGTGGCATGCCTCTTGGGCCGAGACTCAAGAAAGTGGAGCAAACATTGTTGAGTTCGAAACAAGGCTGGGCTTGCGCTTTCGTCAGGCATCCATGGCATTCACTGGTCAGCAGAGTCGTGTTCAGCTCACTTGTCAAAGGGTTGGCTGCGGTCAAAGGACGTCGGCAGCCACGGGCAAGTGCCCGGGAAACTACTTCTCTCGCACATCTAAGAAGGAGGCATGTAGAATAAACGTGAATGCACCTTACGGACCACATGAACCCAGAAAGTCTTGGGATTCGATTGGTCCCAGCATGTACAGTGTACGTGGCAGGGCCATGCACGCAGCTCGTTCTCAAAGGCGGGCTTTGAGCCTTCAATGACAGACTTTGTGGATTGTAGGGTGTACAGGGATGATATATGAGCCAGTCGGCTTAGCGTCCTGCTGGTGAAAGTCATGCTGGTCGTTTGAATGGCTTGCGTGGCCCCCTATTGTTGTCATCGCTTCACAGAGCCGCGCCCGCGTGCGCACCGTGAGGAAAATGGGTAGGGGCTAGTGGCCCTGCAATAGCTCTAAATCCCTAAAGCCTGAACCCGAACGGCTTGGCTCCCACTTCTCCACTGCGTGCGGTACAGGACCTTTACAAGCAAGTCCTAACATGGATGCTGGATCCCTAAAATAAACAAGCGGTGTTTAGGGTGCAGCTACTTTTCTAATCCGCATCGGAGACCAGCAGCACAAGACAGCCGAATCTCGAAGTACCCCCACAGAAGAGCTGCGCTTCAGAGAAAAAGCGATTCAGCGCACAATAGGGATGACAATACTGTCATCATAAAGGGTAAACCCCCCAAAAAGCAATACTCACGAATTTTCTCTTGTTTCAAAGTGTCTGCAGTCATGATGACTCAACGCCATTTAACAGTAGATATCAGCCAAAGGCGGCCCAGAACCACCCTGTGCCCAAGGAAATTGGTGGACGCCGGCAGGTGAAGGTCCCATTGTCCTCCGTGAAGGGACAGGGCTTCACCGTCGTGAAGGAGAGACCCAAAAAAGACGGGGGATCTTCACCCCGAAACTGACGGGGAGTGGGCTTTCTGGGGTTAGTAGGGTTTCGGGTGCTTTTTGTTGGGGGAGTGGGGGAGTGGATCCCGATAGTAGAATTATATACAATCCCTTGTAGTAGTCCCTACATTGGGAGAGTGGATCCCTATAGTAGTCCTTATATAATCCTTGAAAGGAGTCCCTATCTTGCCTCCTCCACTCTCCCTGAAGCACCAGTAGGAAAAGAGGATCTCAAGATCTTCCCCTTCCCAAGGGTGAATTCTAAGGAGGGAGGGCCAACCGTGCTTCCCGATTTTTTTCGCTGCAAGCCAGATGCAAAAGGGCTTAAACGGCTTAAAGCTTAAGCCCCCAAGCCCTAAGCCCTGAACCCTAAACCCTAAACCCTAAACCCTAAACCCTTAAACCCTAAACCCTAAACCCTAAACCTGTCAGGAGCTCGGTCGAGGAGGTCAAGGCTCGCCTGTGTTACGGGGGTTGCCTCACTGCACCGAAGCCTCGAAGCCTCGAATGCCTAGGCCAGTTGGGACTTTCCGAAAATTAGGGGTACCTTATTTTGGGGGTCCTTATAATAAGGAACCTATTATTTAGGGTACTATATTAGGGTCCCCTATTTTCGGAAACCCCCAGTTGGAAGCTTCAAAACGTTTCGGCTTGATAGGGGTTCTGGTCGGATTGCCCTGGCAAGCCTGGTAACACACATTTCCTGTAACTCTTACCCTGCTTAGCTATTCTACGCGCAGTCAGCGGGGCTCCAGTCTGAGTCTGCGAGGTACCATGTACCTTTGTACCAAGTGGTCTTGGTTCCGAAAGCTTCTCGGCAGGGAACGACGCGAATTTTCTTCCCATCATGTCGAGAGTCGAGCAGTGCTGAACCCTGAACCGAAACGTTTGAGGCACGTCAAGGATAAGCTTACGCCCGACAGCGAGAGCGCGAGAGAGAGAGAGAGAGAGCGAGAAAGACTGTTTTACACCCTAGCCCTGGCGAAAGAAAGAAAGGCAGACTGTTTTTCTGCTTCGTCTGTTTGATGTGGATGGCGAACCTCGACAGAGTAATACACGTGTTTGTCATTGGCCTGTTGCTTAGTCCTTGGTTGCTGCTGCCTTAACAGGCGGACGACGGGTGCCCGAATATTCGGAGGTGTCCCAAAGTTGTAGCGTCACTTGCACCGGGGGAGCCCACGTCAGTTCGGCTCTTGGAGTTTTACTAACTATGCCGTGTTCACTTCGGGTACGTCGGACGTGTGACCGGTGCGTATGCCTTCAAGAGCCTCGAAAACTGGGGGGCCCTAGTGGCCGGGGGGCTTCAGACGCTCGCTATGCGCCGTAGAGACGAAGAGACAGCGATCCAACAAAATGGTGCAAGGGCAAAGGAGCCGCAAGCCTCGATGCTGCACGATGCATGAGAGTCGTCGTCGCCATTGCCACAATACGGATTGCTACGCTACTGGAACTTGTTTACTTATTTTGTCTTCTGTAACCGGTTTAACCACCGTAACTACAAGCTCTTTCTTCCCAACAAGACTATCAGTAGCAATTGCACCGCCAGCAGCAACAACAATGGCTCCCGCAGCGCAGATGATCCGAAATTGGATCTGAGGTCGAAGTACTGCATCAAGTTCTATGAGCCACTGGGTCTTCTCAGAGTCTGCTTCAAGCCATCGCAATATGCCGCATTTATATCCGCAGGCACATGTGTAGACATGTGAGATGTATGCACATGCACATAAAAAAACAGATACACACATGCAGACACGCGCGTCTACGCACCTTCTTCGAGCAAGCATGCAGAGACCCGAATGCGGCAAGGAAAGCTGATGCCAACGCAGGCGGTTTGGATGCAGCTCGGCTCCTTCCTTCCACTGCACTGCACATATTTGGGAAGTGATTCCGATAGGAGCCTATAGACATATCATCTGAAGCCCCGTGTATGAAACAGAGGAGACCGGAGCTTTCAGACCCAATGTTATCGCCAACACCCTGATATTTTCAGACTCCAAAAGCAACGTAGGGGGGAGGTAGGGGTTAGGAAGGGTAGGGGGTAGGGGGTAGGGGTAGGGGTAGGGGTAGGGGTAGGGGTAGGGTCTCAAGCCGCTTTGAACCGTAGAGTCCTAAGCACCCAGGAGCTCATGGACGAGTACGTGCTCATGGCTTCCCTGGACAATCCCCACATCGCCAAGACCTACGAGGTCGCTGCCCAGGAAAGAGCCGAAGAGCCCTCAAGCAAGGAATGTACTACTTTGGTGTTTTTTCGTTTGGGGTATATTCCTTGAGTTGTTGTTTCCGGGTTTCAGGGCAGAGGGATTAGCGGTTGAGGGCCTTGTGGAGATGGACCGTTTTCACCTTTAGTCATAGTCTTTTACCCTTCAGTCCTCATAGAAGTGTCTATTAGGATAGAGGGTCTCATTTGGAAACCGTATTATTACATTCTTCTCGTGGCATTCAAATACATCCTTCGACCTTACCCAGGTTGATGAACATACCTTAGTCTTGTCTTATCCCCTTGCAAAGTGGCTCCATTACGCGGAAAAGGTATCTTCCTTATAAGCAGGGATGGAGGAAGCGGGTTCTGCGGACATTGGCTTTGTGGCTTCAATGGTACTTAAGCCTATAGCTGTAGGGTTTCAGGGTTTAGGATTTAGGGAATGAGGGTTTCAGGGTTGACGGAGCAGGGCTGAGGGGCTTTAGCTCTAGGGGTTGAGAGTTGAGTTTCAAGGTTCAGGCTGACGTTTCGCCAGGAGCCCACACGACCCCGGTTTAGGGTTTAGGGTTTAGGGTTTAAGGGTTTAGGGTTTAGGGACTTAGGGTTTCAGGGAGCCCGCAAGACCCTAACCCCAACACCACTTCTTCCTCACATCGCTGTTGCCTCCAACTTGTTGATGTTGACGACGGGTTGACAAGATCTGGTACTCTGAGACAATCATGCCCGATGTGGATTCTTGTGAAGATATGGGGGTTTCCGAAAATAGGGGACCCTAACATAGTACCCTAAATAGTAGGATCCCTATTATAAGGACCCCAAAGTAAGGTACCCCCAATTTTCTGAAACTCCCATATTTGTTCAACATAGCCATCGCTCATGTATCCTCCACCTGCGTCCTCGTAGTAAACTGCAAGACTTCTAGGAGGGTATCCCTAAACGCTAAACCCTAAACC